GACGCAGGCTACACGCCTGCACCGATCCCGGCCAGGCCGATGCGGCGTCCAGGATCGTTGTCTGCGCTTCCTCTGCCAATGCCGGCGGGCAGACGCACCGATCCTGGGCCCAGGACTGGCCTGGCCAGCGTTGAGGTGTGTTCGGTTGCAGGTGATGAGCGCCTTGTCTACCCCCGTAACGCCGTCTTGTCTGGTAGACGAAGATGCGGCGCCGATCCAGCGTCGTTTTAGCGTCGATTAGCGTCGATCCGCGTCGATGCGCGTCGACTTGGCGTTGATCAGGGTCGACTCGCGTCGACTCGTGATAGCCATCGAGATGGTACGGGAGGCTCCCGTGAGTTGCCACAGAAGGTAGCAGTTGTGCAGCTAACGCCCTCCTCCTCCTCCTCCTCCTTCTTCGCCTCCTCCTCCTCCTCCTCCTCCTCCTCCTCCTCCTCCTCCTCCTCCTCCTCCTCCTCCTCCCCCCCCTCCCCCCCTCTCCCTCGACCTCCTCCCTCGCCTCCTCTGCCTCCTCGCAGTGCGACGGGCGGTGGCTGCGAAGACGGCGACGGCGGCAAAGGCCTCTCCCCCGCCTCCTGCCCCGCCCCCCGCCCTCTCCCCCCCCCCTCTGGGCAGGCCGCGCGGGCCGAGAAGGCGGGCGGCGCGCGCCCGGGGGGGGGGGGAAAGGGGAAAGGGGGGAGGGGGAATCTGGGCTTCCTAGATGGGGGTCCGAGCAGATGGGGTCGGAGGTTCGCGCCGTGTCGCCGATGCATCGCCGATGCGGCTCGATGGTGGAGCTCGATTTTCTCCACGGCGACGGCGCCGTTGTATCGCCGATGCATCGCCGATGCGGCGCGATCCTCGGACCCCATCTATTTGGACCCCATCTGGGAAGCCTCTAGGGAAGGAGAAAGAGTTCAGGGCAACGCTTGGGGGGGACAGGCTCGTGGGGGACGACAGCTTCGAGGCCCGAGATTTTCGAACGTTTTCGTCGGTTCCTAGACGTTCTCCAGCTTCGGGATGCGCTTCAGCAGCTGCGCCTCGCCGGGGTCCTTCCGGGGCTGCCCGGATCGTCCCGAACGGCTGATGGAGACCAGAGTTATGACCCGAGAACCGAGGCCAGTCAATGCTTGGGGGGCTGGGCCCAGGGGGGGATGCACCGACCCCTAATCGCCCACTGATCGCCGATAGGAGCCCGATCGCCCACACCGCCCAGGAGGCGCGGACCGCCCAGGAGCGTGCGATTTCGTATCTGGGGCCTATCGCCGATCTATCGGCGATGCATCTTCGACTCCAGGTCGATGTTTTCCCCCTGAGCGGGTCCCCTTAACGCTGCCCCTCAAGCAGGAGCCAAACGCGTCCAGACCTCGATCCCCGACCTTGTTCCAATGACGACGAGGGACGACGGCGGACGACGACGGGCGACGGACGCGACGTCGACGACGCCGACGACGCCGACGACGCCGACGACGACGGACGATGGATGAGGGATGACGACAACGACAACGGCGAATTCGCCTCGCTTGTCGTCGTCGCTGTCGGTCGTCGTCGTTGTCGTCGTCCGCTGATGTCGCCGTCGTTATCGTCAGAGTCTTCTGTCGTCTGTTGGTTGTCATCCCTCATTTATCGTCCGTCGTCCGTCGCCCGTCGTCGTCGTCGTCGTCGTCGTCGTCGTCGTCGTCGTCGTCGTCGTCGTCTGTGTGAGAATGTGTCGTTTTGCCAACCAGTTGCAAGGACAGTCTTGCTTTGCCCACCTGCCAGGCATTACCCGGCAACCCTGGGGAATCTGAGAGCCCTGGGCGTTGTAGGCGTCCTGGGCGAAAGCGGCTGCGGCTACGGATACACTCGAGCCACACTTGATTGATATTTGTTGGACCTGCCCCGCCTCTCCTCAGTCTGCAGCAGCAGCATTTCCCACCCACGGCCCCTTGCGCCACCATTTCTGACCTTGCTCTTGCAGGCTCGGGCCGATCCTTCGCCGCGCGATGCCAACGCTGGCTGGGTGCGGCAGTGCCTGCATCACGTGCGGCAGCCAGGGTTCTGCGGTTTCCTTCGGCACGGAGCCCAGGCTAGGGTGTGAGAGCGCCCTGTTAGTTGGGAGACGAGGCCAGCACGTCTTGACTGTTTGTGGCTGCCCCGGAATGCAAGTGGGTAGTGCTCTACCCGTGTATTCCTCTCCAACGTCTGCGAGAGGCAGAAGCGGGGGAATTCATGAAGTATGCTTCTTACTGTTCAAGCGCACTGGTTAACTGGAGCTTCGCAGACGGACCCCTCGGGTCTTTGCGGAAGGCCAGCTACGCTGAATTGATTCAGGGTGATTCGAATTGCTGCCAATGCTGGAGAAGGTATTCGAACAGAGGGCGCCGCGCTGCTTGTACCTGCTGCCTTAGTGAATCCCGTCAACGAGCATGTTTACACGATTTCATGATGCGCTGCCGACCTCAGCTTTCATGAGCGCCCCCTTCTTACCGCCATGTCGGCACGGTGGCCACGCCACTTGACGGTGATTGCAGCATTCAGACGCGTGTACCATACCGACGTGTGTTCCAGAACGCCGTGCTGCCGAATGGTCGTGGGCTCATGAAGAAGGGGCGTTCGATCTTGAGACGACAGCTGTGCTGGCTGTCGGAGCTCGCCGCAGAAGGGTTCTACACTGGGCGCACGCTCCAGGAGTGGCGGTGGGATTACTCCTCTCCCCTGTCCCTTTGGCAACCGAGTTTCATGGCTATCAGCAGCAGCAGAATCATCGGCTGCGGCAAGGGGCGGGGCAGAGAAGGGAGGCGGGAGGCGGAGGAATGCCGAGAGGAAGTGGGACAGGCGGAGGATGTAGAGGAAGAGAGCGACGATGGTGGGGGGGGATGATGGATTGGGGGCTGCGACGACGGTGCCTGCCGGTGATGCGCGTTTTTCAGGCGCATGCCTTGGGAGCTGAGACGCGCACGAACGGTGAAGAACCGGAGCCTCCTCCTCCTCCGCCTCCTCCTCCTCCTCCTCCTCCTCCTCCTCCCGCTCCTCCCGCTCCTCCTCCGCCTCCTCCTCCTCCGCCTCCTCCTCCTCCTCCTCCTCTTCCTCCTCCTCCTCCTCCTCCGCCTCATCCTCCTCCTCCTTCTCCTCCTCCTCCTTCTCCTTCCCCTCCCCTCCTCCTCCTCCTCCTTCTCCTCCTCCTCCTCCGCCTCCTCCTCCTCCGCCGCCTCCTCCCTCTCTCCTCCTCCTCCTTCTCTCCTTCCCCTCCCCTCCTCCTCCTCCTCCTCCTTTCTCCTCCTCCTCTTCTTCCTTCCTCCCCCCGCCTCCTCCTCCTCCTCCTCCTCTTCTTCCTTCCTCCCCCCGCCTCCTCCTCCTCCTCCTCCTCCTCCTTCGCCTCCTTCTCCTCCTCCTCCTTCTCCTCCTCCTCCTCCTCCTCCTCCTCCCTCCGACGCCGCCGTCGACGCCGTCGACGACAACGAGGACGAGGACGACGACGACGACGACGACGATGAGGACGACGCCGCCGTCGACGTTGTCGACACGACGACGAGGACGACGATGGCGACGAGGACAAGGACGAGGTCGACGACGACGAGGACGAGGACGAGGACGAGGACGACGACGACGCCGACGATGACGACGACGGGCGCCCGGGCGCGAAGGCGGAGGCGGGCCTGCGCGGCGCCATCGCCGAGATGAGGGCGGGGGGCTCCGACGCTCGCGCGGCGGCGCTGCGGACCGCGCACGAGGCGGCACCGCCGTCGTCGTCGTCGTCGTCGTCGTCGTCGTCGTCGTCGTCGTCGTTGTCGTCATCCTCGTACTCGTCCTCGTCTTCGTCGTCGTCGTCGTCGTCGTCGTCCTCGTCGTCGTCGTCGTCGTCGTCCTCGTCGTCGTCGTCATCCTCGTCCTCGTCTTCGTCGTCGTCGTCTTCGTCGTCGTCGTCGACGGCGAGGTCTCACTCTGATCCCCGTAAGACGTCCCTCCGCTGGGTCTCCCAAGAGACCACGAACGTGGCAACAGTTTCTTAGTTTGCAGCCCCCCAGGGACGGCAAGGTCTCATGGTGATCGTCGTGGGGCACCGCTCCGCTGGGCTTCCCAGGGGCCCACGAAAGTGGCGACAGTTTCGCAGATCGCAGCCGCCTGGGCCAGGGACGGCGAGGTCTGATCACCGTAAGACTCGCTCCGCTGGGTTTCCCAGCGTTCGCGAAAGTGGCGACGGTTTCGCAGATCGCAGCCCACAGAAACAGCGAGGCCCCACTGGCCAACGAAAGTGGCGACAGTTTCGCAGATCGCAGCCCCCCAGGGACGGCGAGGTCTCATTCTGATTGCCGTAAGGCGTCCCTCCGCTGGGCCTCCCAAGAGCCCGCGAAAATGGCGGCGGTTTCGCAGATCGCAGCCCCCCAAGGACGGCACGGTCTCATTCTGATCCCTGTAACACGTCCCTCCGCTGGGCTTCCCAAGAGCCCACGAACGTGGCAACAGTTTCGCAGCCCCCCAGCGACGGTTAGGTTCCAGTCTGATCCCGTAAGACGTCCCTCCGCTGGACCTCTCCAGGCGCCCACGCAAGTGGCGACAGTTTTGCAGATCGCAGCCACCCATGGACGGCGAGGACTCATTATGATCCCCATTACGTGGACGCAGCCAGTTGTTTGTGGTTGCTCGTGGCTTTGTTTTTCCCATTCCTCAACGGTGCTTGCAGTAAGGGGTTCTTGGGTGTCTTGAGTAATTGGCTGGGTTTGCTGGCTTTTCGTCACGTTGCCACCCGTGTCGCATCGTGGGCGCCCTGTGGGCGCCCCATGCGCTGGGTGGGCTCCCCGAGGTTGCACCACGTTGCCGCCCGTGCGGCCTCGCGGGAGCATCGTGGGCGCCCTGTGCGCTGTGGGTTTCTCGAAGTTGCGCCACGTCGCCGCCCGTGCCACTTTGTGGGCGCCTCGTGGGTGTCCTGTGCTCTGAGCTTGCACGACACAACTTTCACCCCATAGCTTAAACACGTACCTTACACCGCATAGCTTACACAACATAGCTTGCTTATATAGCTTGCACCCCCCACACAGCGTCCACCCCCAGTTCACAACGCATAGCTTACACTGCACAACTTGCACCGTATATAGCTTATACCGCATAGAAGCCACCTCCATAGTCCACACGACATAGCTTACACGACATACCTTGCACCACATAGCTTGCATCTCATAGCTTCCTCCACGTAGCAGTCATCCCATGTTTGGGTCCACGCTGGAGTTGTTATTTTCTTTGAGCAGTGCTTGCGCTCAGGTTTTTTTCGTTCCCTGCTTCAGTAATTCGATGTGTCCGCCGAGGATTTTCCACGTTCCCGTTCGTGCTGGCCCCAGGGCCCGATAACGGGCCCTAGAGGCCAACATCGAGGAACAGTGTCCAGATAGGAGAAGACATCGTCGGAGATTTGGGGAGGGAGGAGGGACCTTCGTTTTGGGCTTCCAGGGGTAGCCTGTTGACCACGGCTGGATCCCCCCCGAAGTCCCGCTGGAGCGCGCCCTGGGACGGGCCTCCGATGATAGGGAAACGGGTCCTGAAGCAAGTGAGTCCCTGAGGGACCCGGGTCCTGATCGGAAATTGGAACATATACATTACCAGTGGCGGGCTGTTTTCAATCCCAGGACTTCTTGAGGGTCGAGGACGACGCTGGGGTGGTGTGGTGTATACTTTTTTCCCCGATGTCCCGTGGTCCCGTATTCACCAGGATCCGCTCTCCAGTGCAAATTCCAATGCAGGGCCGGAAGAAGCGTCGGTGTATAGAGTTCGATTCCCTACCTGATGCTTTCCGCCGTCTTCGGGCTCTCGTGGCGCTCCACGGGCCCCTGGGCCGTCAACAAAACAGCTCGGCAGGAAGCCCACCGGTCCTAGGGGAAGGGGCTCCAGGGTCCAGGACACGTCTCCCTCAGGACCCGTCTGATCCATGCCAGGATGTGTGTGTGTGTGTGTGTGGCTTCCCCTCTAGCGCACCACGTACCCTTTGCACTTTGCAGTGTGCGGCGTCTCGTACACTGTGCCTTCGGCAGGGCTCGATTGCAATTCGCACTTCCATCTGCTGCTCGCGCTTGAGGGTCCTCTGCGTCGCCGGCTTGAAAAAGAGTTTTTGTGTGTGTGGTGGACGTGGCGAATCCGGGGAGGGCTGGCGGGCGGGTGCAGCAGGGGGATGAGGGGAGCAGGAGGAGAGCAGCGGCTGAGAGGACCAAGACTCGTGGCGCAGTGTCAGGGACAGCGTGGGCCCAACTCCGCAGAAGGACTAGGAGGCAATGGGCGAGCAGGGGGGTTGTAGCTCTTGGCTTAGGTCTGGTTGGACACACACACACACAAACGGTCGGGAACCTTCGGAAAGCGTGTCGTGCCGCTGGTCCTGGCCCACCACGCTTCGGCGCGGCACGCTGTCCACTTCTCCGCCCCGAGGCGTCGACGCGCCGAGCTTCTTCCAGCCTCCCGCCCCGCGGAGCGGAGCGGCACGCTGTCCGCTCGCAGGGCAGAGCGCGTCGCTGGGGGCGCCGTGACGACACGCTATCCAAAAGTTCCCGGCCGCACGCGGCTCGAGCTCTGTGTTGGCTTGCGCGCCATGGCGCATGCACTGTGGCCGCAGAGAGCGCTCGCGGTGGCCACGGGCGAGGCAGATGTTCCGCGGCGGGCAGCGCCCCGTGGCGGTCGCGCCCGGCCATCTGCGGCGGGCCTCTCGGGCACGCGCTGCGTTTGCGGTGGCGTTGGCCGAAGCATGCTGCACGGACGCGCTGGGCGTGGATCCCGCGTGCAGCTATGGCCTCAATGAGGAGGCGAGGCGCGCGTGGGAGAGTCTCCAGGTCCTGATGCTCCGCACACGCTGGGACCAGGAGATCATGCGCGCCGCCATTGAAGGCAGTGAGTTCGGCTTGTGGCTCCGGCGTCAAGCTCGCGGAAGGGGTATGGCGGTGAACAACGACGAGTGGGCCTACGAGTTCGACTGGCTGCAACCTTTCGCACGCGCCAGCGACGAGTGCCTAATGGGCCGATGGGCTCTCTGGCTGATGCAGCAGACCGCGCGGATGGGCGCCGACGATTGGAACGTCCTGATGGATGCGGTGTCGCCGTCAGCAATTTCCAGTAGTGCTTCCAGCAGCGCGTCCGGCAGCGTCGTGGCGACGCCGGAGGCCCGGATGCGGGCAGTGCAGTCCCTGCGGCATTCTCCGCTCGCGGCGCTCCTATTGCCCGCGGGAGACGGGCGTCAGCACCTGGCGTGGAGCACGACTGGCCTCTCCCAGTGGGGCCTCTTCGACGTGGTGTCCCACTACCGAGATTATCGAAGACGCCTACGGCGAATCACCGCCGCCCCCTGCCTTTTTGGAAGCGCCTATGTGGCCGAACGTTGAGTCCAGACCTGCCAAGCTATCGGACCGTGTGTTCCCCGAATCGGTTTGGGCCGTCTTGGAGGCCCTCTTGGGCGTCTGAAAAGCCTCCTGGGCCGTCTTTTGTGCCCTCTTGGGGCCGTCTTGGGGGCCTCTTGGGCAGTCCTGAGGCCATCTTGGAGGCCTCTTGGGCGCTGTGGGGGCGATCTTTCGGGGCTCTTGGGCCGTATCGGGCCGTCGGAAGGCCGAAACGAAGCAAATGTCAAAATCCTTCGAGCACCTACGGAAAATCAATATTTTTGGCCTTTTTCTGGCCTTCCTGGAGGCCCTCTTGGAGGCCTCTTGGGCCGTCTTGGGCCGTCTTGGGCCAGCTTCGAGCCAACTTCGGCCATCTTGGTGGGCTACTGGCCCGTCTGACGCCGTCGGAAGCCGTTTTGGGGGCCTTTCAGGGCCGACTTGGGGCCCTCTTGGGGTGCTCCAGGGCCGTCTTAGATAGAGGCCATCTTGGGCGTCTTGGAGTCCTCTTGGGTCGTCTTTGTGCCCTCTTGGGGCCGCCTTGGGGGCCTCTTGGGCAGTCCTGAGGCCATCTTGGAGGCCTCTTTGGCGCTGTGGGGGCGATCGTGGGGGCCTCTTGGGCTGTCTTGGATCGTCGGAAGGCCGAAAAGAAGCGAATGCGAAAATCCTTCAAAAACCAACGGAAAATCAATGATTTTGGCCTCTTCGGGCCCTCCTGGAGGACCTCTTGGAGGCCTCTTGGGCCGTCTTGGAGGCCTCTGGGGGCCTCTTGGGCCGTCTTGGGCCGTCTTGGGCTCTCTTGGGTCGTCTTGGAGGCCGTCTTGGACCATCTTGGGCGGACTTGGAGGCTATCTTGGGTCATCTTGCAGGTCATCTTGGGCCAACGTGACCATATTGGAGGCCATCTTGAGCCGTCTTGGATGGTTTTTTGTGGACGCTGAGGTGGTTTACGCGGCCTTCGGGGACCCCGGCGGAACGCGCCGAAGCCCCAGGGGGAGTTCTTTTGGAAAGAGAACCAAAACTCAAACCGAAAGGGTCCAGCACGCCAGGCACCCCTGCGATGAATCGACAGGGGGCGGCGGATCCAGCTGCCTGCGGCAACTCCCGCCACCGTGCCAGCCCAGCATTCTGGGTGCCAATTGTTCGAGGGGGCACGGGGGGCCGCCACGTTTGACACCTCGTGTCCCCAGGCTTGGGAGATCCGTGATGAGGATGATGAGGGTTATCAGGATAAAGACGAGGATGATGATGCTGCTGCTGCTGCTGCTGATGATGATGATGATGATGATGATGATGTTGATAATGCTACTTATGATGATGATGATGATGCTGATGATGATGATGATGATGATGATGATGATGATGATGATGATGCTGATGCTGATGAT